TTATTAACTAACATATAAATGACAATACAACACAAAACAATAAAATCTTTGCAAAACGCTTGGTTTTTTATATACACACAAAAATATTATGCAAAAAATTTCACAGACTCCCAAATACTGAAAATGACTCCCCAAAATAAATACTGTTTTTCAAAGTCTGAGTAAAACCCTGTATCAGTTTGTACTGACACAGAACACTGAGGCAATGTACAGTGTTTCGGTTTCATTCATCAACAATACTTCAGGATACATTAGTACGCCACTCCATCGTGTTTGTGACATTCTGACAGTCAGTCAGCAGTGCAAGAGTTAATCACATTGTAATGCATAATGCTCTGCTTAAAGTCGAGGGTGTTCTTCAAACAAATGTCAAATCAAAATATTTTCTTACCATAATATCTGAAAGTAGTAAAACTCAACATGTGAATGTTTTAAGTTTCATGACAAAAGCATATTTTTCTCACCCTTCCCGTAACTACGGTAACTCAATACAGCACCTGTGTACACTGAAGCCATGGCAACTGCACCCAACCCACACACTTTGTTACATCAAATGAGAAGCTGGCAAGTCAACACTCAGGGTGGACTCCCCGCCCGCCTTCTCATCACTCCGGAATGCAACTCAGCTACATCCCACAAATTCTTCTCAAAAATAAATTGAAAGGCAAAGATATTTTCATGGCAAAGAAAAATAATAAGCTGTAAAAAGTGTAAGATCCTTCGGTAGTACCAAAAGGCTTGATTTAAGGAAAATAAAACCGACTTGCACCCAGTGCAACCTTAGGTTATAACAGGTTGCACCAGACAACTGGTTGCACCTGCTGCTTAATATAGACTTATATACAAAGTTTGAGTTTTGGTATTATTCAGCACTGCGCGTCATCAGCATCCAGGCTGTTCAATCATTCTGTTTGCCAGTTAAATCGCACTGGCAGGCTGCATAAGCGCCCTGCGATGTTTAGTGAGTGTAAGACTGTTGTGTTTTAGCGTCATTACAAAACAGCATAAACAAGAATAGCGTGAGTGCGTGAGTGAGTAGTGAGTGCGTGGTGCGTGAGTGAGTGAGGTGCGTGCGTGCGTGCGTGCGTGCGTGCGTGAGTGAGTGAGTGAGTGAGTGAGTGAGTTTATTTTTACAGGCATTTAGCAATATTCCAGCAATATCACGGCGGGGGACACCAGAAATGGGCTTCACACATTGTACCCATGTGGGGAATCGGACCCGGGTTTTCGGCGTGACGAGCCAACACTTTAACCACCATCCCTAAACAATAATGCAGAACTGAAACAGGAAAGCTTTTATAAAATCAGTTCATTTCCTGCATATATAAGTCGTTAACAAAGGATGAATATTGATGAACCCATGGGAAATCAACACAGAAACCTCCGCATCCCCCCTCTGTCTGTGTGTGTGTGTGTGAGTGTGTGAGAGAGAGAGGGTGATTGTGTATGAGTGAATGTATGTGCATTCATCCATGCATGCACATTTGTGTGTCTTTTTAGTGGCTACTTTCACTAGTCTAGATTTTAGAGGTGTGATGATATAGAAATTTCTTGATACGATATCTTGGAACGATCCAATTTCATTTGATGCATATCACAAAAAGCTATCTTTAGTTAGTTTCTTTAAAAAAGTATATTTTGATAGCAAGTAACAATGTAAATTTGACATAACCGTCAATTACTAGTGACAGTTAAAAATTTCAAGGTCAACAATACATACGATACGAAAAAGGTATTGATATATTTATCGTCAGATAAAGTATCACGATTATCGATACTACGATGTATACTGGAATCGCAAACTGAAAAGACTTTTATCACTGTCAATCACTGTCATAATAACGGTGACACAACATTCATAAAGATCGAAGATTGATCGAAAGTAATATTTTTGTTCTTGTTGGCAAACTTAAATTCCACAGGCCACTCCTGAACAGCTGTATGTGAGCCCTGTGGTGCACTTGAGACGAAAATACATCTCTTTCAATGTAGATAAAGTAATCGATTGATGCAGGACAAGATAAAACACAGGTGTTCCATGAATACAGACATATCAATCAATGTGCACAAATGTGTACCATGCCGGTGATGTATAGACACACATAAACAACATCACTGAACTGTTGAATGTTCCAGGGATATAAAACTGAACCATTGAATGTTCCATGAATACAGACATCAATCAATGTGTACTGATGTGTACCATGCCTGTGATGTATAGCGACAGGTAAACAACATCACTGAACTGTTGAATGTTCCAGGGATACAGAACTGAACTGTTGAATGTTCCAGGGATACAGAACTGAACTGTTGAATGTTCCAGGGATATAGACATATCAATGTGTACAGATGTGTACCATGCCGGTGATGTATACCGACACGTAAACAACATCACTGAACTGTTGAATGTTCCAGGGATACAGAACTGAACTGTTGAATGTTCCAGGGATACAGACATCAATCAATGTGTACAGACGTGTACCATGCCGGTGATGTATAGCGACACATAAACAACATCACTGAACTGTTGAATGTTCCAGGGATACAGAACTGAACTGTGGAATGTTCCAGGGATATAGACATTTCAATGTGTACAGATGTGTACCATGCCAATGATGTACAGCAACAGATAAACAACATCACTGAACTGTTGAATGTTCCAGGGATACAGAACTGAACTGTTGAATGTTCCAGGGATACAGACATCAATCAATGTGTACAGACGTGTACCATGCTGGTGATGTATAGCGACACGTAAACATCACTGAACTGTTGAATGTTCCAGGGATACAGAACTGAACTGTTGAATGTTCCAGGGATACAGAACTGAACTGTTGAATGTTCCAGGGATATAGACATATCAATGTGTACAGATGTGTACCATGCCAGTGATGTACAGCGACACATAAACAACATCACTGAACTGTTGAATGTTCCAGGGATACAGAACTGAACTGTTGAATGTTCCAGGGATACAGACATATCAATGTGTATAGATGTGTACCATGCCGGTGATGGTAAACAACATCACCATGATCACTGAACTGTTGAATGTTGAAATAATCCATAGTTCTCAACTCAGGTGACAACTTATGATGCTTAGTCAACTTAATTGTTGCCTTATATGCCTCTTTATTCCGGTTGCCATGGTTACTGTGTTTAGAAAACTTCCATTACCTAATTAACCAGGGGAAGACTTTCGTAGTTAATTTTAGTCATCTGAAAAACTCACTATACTCAGGAGTATTCCAGCTATATGGCAGCGGTCAGTAAATAATGGAGTCTGGACCAGACACTCCAGTGATCAACAGCATCAGCATCGATCTATGCAACTGGGGTACGATGACATGTGTCAACCAAGTCAGCGAGGCTGACCACCCGATCATGTTAGTCACCCCTTACAACAAGCATGGGTTACTGAAGACCAATTCTAACCCGGATCTTCTGTAATTAAAGATGAATAAAATGGTGTGTGAGGTGTGTGTATGTGTGTGTCATTTCCGTGTAACGTATGTTTGTCTGGAAATATCAAACCAGTTACTATTGCTGATCGACTGTTCTGGGGACTTCCATCGTAAAGCAAATTTGTCCAGCTATTAACGTCTAAATCAAACATAACTTTTGTTTATTTGTCAAGATTCATAAAATGGTCAACTTTAGACATGCTAGAGTTACCTGTCCAAGTCTATGCATTTATCATATAATAATGCAGGTGTGGGGGTCAACGAGTCCAAGTCTTTCCCTTCATTAAACTTCGGTTTTCTTGGTACATAAAACTGAGCAAGCAGACAAAGAGGACATTCAGGGAGCCAAACTTTATCCTACTGACCAAAGTCTAATCCTTCTCACTTGATCATAACAAGTGTTTCTATATAATAAATAAACTGTAAGTTATTTGTGGGATCCGCTTGGCTCACTAAATATTTTTTTTAATACACATATGTTCCCATAAACCAGAAAACAATTTAGATCACACCCACTAACAAACTAAGGCTTCCTGATTGGCTGATAATATAATCTGCAGGTCTGTGTCTTTACTGCACTGAACCATGTGTCACTATTTTATGCTTTGGTCTACACAAATGTACAAATGTGTAATTTTTCATACCTCCAAATACTCCCAAAAATTATTGAAACTAATTCTTCATTAAAGACAGTGTTCCAAATTAAGTATGAAAGTTAAGGGGTGCTCAGCACATATTTAATTCAAACACTGAAATATCTCCCTCATTGTAACTCCACCTACATAATATTGCTGAAATCAAATTTTTAAAATATGAAATAAAATTTCATCACTGTAATTTATAATCATGAAATTGTAGATTGTTCTGGTCTAATAATTATATTCATGAAGTGATTTCTATAAACACATACAGATTGCATTGTACCAGGTATTACACATGCAACTATTTTGTTCAATGATACCACAAGTTTAGTCCTTGTAAAATATCATTCCTTGGTTTTACAATAACTGACTTAACTGTCCCTGACGAATTTCTCTCTTAATGTATGACCATCCTGGATACGTTTCTGACTTTGGTGTAAGTTATTACATTTCAGGGTAGTAAAAGTTTATGGTCACAATGTTTATTTGCTTAGGCTGTACATTCCCTTGTGTTTATTTTACTCTAGTCCATTTGAGCGTGGATGTGAAATTAAGACAAAGCACTTGTGACCAAAATATTATACAAACATAAATAGCCTAATCATGCTAATCACAATACCAATACGAATGTTCGATGAAAAGCTGTTATACATCCACACGTTACAGCATCGTCAACACTTCATGACACGAAATAAGGGTACGCACTTGTCAATTCGTGAGTCTCAGCTGATGGACAACACGTTGCTGTCAACAACCTGACAATGTCACATAAGTATTAAAGTTAAGGATCAAATACTGTAATTCTGTGCAAGTTGACTTCGGTATGTCTTCTTGTGTGAAATTCTGATACTATCTGTTGCCGGCGAGAGCAGACTCAACACATTATCGTACTTACCAAGGTTTGCTCGTATCCAAACTTCTGACGTTCCGCCATCTTTGAAGCGCCCTCTGTCGGTAATCCAATAAGCGCAATTGATTGGTTAAAAGTACATCGCTGAAAGTAAAGTAAATGTTATATGAGCATCTTCAAAACTGGTAACGTTCTTCGGTTTGAATAAAAAGAAATAAAAGAAATATCTACCCTTCATTACGTTATTTCTTAAACGAAATATAACTCATTTGAAATAGATATATTTCTTTACGTAGTTCCGACAATAAAATATTTTTACCTACAATGAAAATTAAGAAATATTTTATTCATATAAAAGAAATATGATACATTCCTCAGAAATCTTGAACGACATCTCAGTTATTTATCTAAAATCGTAAATCATCTTTTGAAACACCCTGGGGCAATGGAGTATACAAACCATATCTATCATATACCGTACATACGGTGACCGGCTACCGTCGATCTCTAATTGTGACGGCAAACTGCCTGTTTAAACTTTGTGCACTGTCAAATATATCACTGTTATGACGTAATTAACACCTCAAGGACTGATTGACAAGTGCTGATTTCACATGACCAAGTTCACATCAATCACAGCCAAGCTGAAGGACTTGTTTGTCAACATTTTTGCTCAATGTAAATTAGCTAACAAAGGGAATGGGTGTGAAAGTCTCACCAGCGGCCCGGTGTCATGACAGTTAGAGGATTCGAAAGAGAACAGTAAAGGAAAAAAATGTTTGTTCGAAATTCACTTGATGATTCACTCAGATTTAAAAGTTTACGTCTGTTAATTAACGCGGACATAATAAATCACTGTTACTTGACACATGTGTTTTTTACAGATTAAAATATAATGCAGCAGATGAGTGGTTTAATCTTCTTCTTATTATTACTATTATTCATGATATTATTTTCGTCATCGTCGTCTTCATCATCATCAACAACATCAACATCATCATCATCATCATCAACAACATCATCATCAACAACATCATCATCATCATCATCATCATCATCATCATCATCATCATCATCATCATCATCATCATCATCATCATCATCAACAACATCATCATCAACAACATCATCATCATCATCATCATCATCATCATCATCATCATCATCATCATCATCATCAACATCATCATCATCAACAACATCATCATCATCATCATCATCATCATCATCATCATCATCATCATCATCATCATCATCATCATCATCATCATCATCATCCTTCTTTCTGTTTCAAGGTTGATAACGCGTTCAAGGCAATATATAGACCGTGTGTTTGTTTACCACAGTGTACAACATATAATCAACATATTCAGACGTAGGTTTGTTTATCGATAGTCTGACTTAGTTCAGTCCCGACGCAATGATAACAGCAGTCGTCGGTGCAGTCGTAAATGGGCTGCACATCGTGCACACTCCGCCGTTGGATGGGCAGCAGGAATGAACAGGTCAGACTTGCTGGAGGCACACACTTGTACATCTTGAACCAGTGATACTCGTGTTTGCCTCACCAAAAACAACAAAGCTGGACAAAACGGAGACAACAAAGAACAGGAAAAACATCAAAGCTGCAGAAATTCTGAAACAAACACATCGTAGACTAACCCGTTATCATCGAGCTTAATTACTATAGTACGTGCGCGCATTCAGAGAGAGAACTCTCATATTATAGTCAGTGAGGGTTGGGGGTTTTACCCCGGTTTGACAATGATCTACCAACAACATAGGACATACACAAACTGGATCCATGCATCGGACAATGTCGGGAATCGAACCAGGATCTCAGTGTGACGGGCGAACGCGTTCACCACTGGGCTACATTGACACCACTGAATAAGGAGTAATACATTCATGTCACCATGTAGTGCAACCTTGTTAACTGGAAGATTGACCTCAGGTCTTAGGTTGATTTGTCCTGTCTGCTGGACCAACCGGAGCAGTTCAATCTGTCATGAAACCTTCTGGACCAATCGGAGCAGTTCAATCTGCCATGAAACCTTGTGGACCAACCGGAGCAGTTCAATCTGCCATGAAACCTTGTGGACCAACCGGAGCAGTTCAATCTGCCATGAAACCTTGTGGACCAACCGGAGCAGTTCAATCTGCCATGAAACCTCCTGGACCAACCGGAGCAGTTCAATCTGCCATGAAAGCCAATCTGCCATGGGACCAACCGGAGCAGTTCAATCTGCCATGAAACCTTCTGGACCAACCGGAGCAGTTCAATCTGCCATGAAACCTTCTGGACCAACCGGAGCAGTTCAATCTGCCATGAAACCTTCTGGACCAACCAGGGCAGTTCAATCTGCCATGAAACCTTCTGGACCAACCGGGGCAGTTCAATCTGCCATGAAACCTTCTGGACCAACCGGAGCAGTTCAATCTGCCATGAAACCTTCTGGACCAACCGGAGCAGTTCAATCTGCCATGAAACCTTCTGGACCAACCGGAGCAGTTCAATCTGCCATGAAACCTTCTGGACCAACCGGAGCAGTTCAATCTGCCATGAAACCTTCTGGACCAACCGGAGCAGTTCAATCTGCCATGAAACCTTCTGGACCAACCGGAGCAGTTCAATCTGCCATGAAACCTTCTGGACCAACCGGAGCAGTTCAATCTGCCATGAAACCTTCTGGACCAACCGGAGCAGTTCAATCTGCCATGAAACCTTCTGGACCAACCAGGGAAGTTCAATCTGCCATGAAACCTTCTGGACCAACCGGAGCAGTTCAATCTGCCATGAAACCTCCTGTTTCAATCTGCCATGAAACCTTCTGGATCAACAAGGGAAGTTCAATCTGCCATGAAACCTTCTGGACCAACCGGAGCAGTTCAATCTGCCATGAAACCACCTGGATCAACCAGGGAAGTTCAATCTGCCATGAAACCTTGTGGACCAACCGGAGCAGTTCAATCTGCCATGAAACCACCTGGACCAACCAGGGCAGTTCAATCTGCCATGAAACCTTCTGGACCAACCGGAGCAGTTCAATCTGCCATGAAACCTTCTGGACCAACCGGAGCAGTTTAATCTGCCATGAAACCTTCTGGACCAACCGGAGCAGTTCAATCTGCCATGAAACCTTCTGGACCAACCGGAGCAGTTTAATCTGCCATGAAACCTCCTGGACCAACGGGAGCAGTTCAATCTGCCATGAAACCTTCTGGACCAACCGGAGCAGTTCAATCTGCCATGAAACCTTCTGGACCAACCGGGGCAGTTCAATCATGAATTGTACACAACACTGACATGTAGGGGTCAGTGTAAACAATAAACATCCCTATGGGTTTATGTATCACTACAGAATCTGGGATTCGATCCCGCGGACATCGGATCCAGACACAGTAAAGGGACGCAAGTCCGAGTTAGACGAAACAGTCCATGACATATAATGTATGAGAAAAACAAAACTTAAAACTCACATTAATTAATCCCGGGGGTACATGTAAACACTGTGACGCAAACAACATGGATACCCAGTTTAACAGAACTCTTGAACATGGCTTGTAACATATATCCTTGAGCGGCGCACAGTAGTCTGACGTCATATCAATGTGTGCTGTAACGGGTTTACTTAACGTCGGTCACGACATGCATAAGGTTTAACGACACCTATCTCTGTCATCACAAGTGTAAATAAAACCGATTTTACAGGTCAGTGACTTTCAGGCAGTCGTGAAGCTATTGACACTTGTGAGAAGAGTGATGGTCGGATGGGAGTACAAGATCACCTGATCTCGTATGAAACTTAACCTCTGACCTATCAATGCTCGGGTACATTTCAACCCACGTGGGTGAGTGAGTTTAGTTTTACGCCGCTTTTGGCAATGTTCCAGCAATATCACGGCAGGGGACACCAGAAATGGGCTTCACACATTGTACCCATGTGGGGAATCTAACCCGGGTCTTCAGCGTGACAAGCGAACGCTTTAACCACTAGGCTAGCCCACTGCCCGATATTATTTAGAAGATAAAGGTGTCCACCGCCGTCATATTGCTGGAATATTGCTACAAGCGGCGTAAAACCATACTCACTCACTCTAAATAATATATTCTGAAATGCAAAACCAAATGGTGAAAGTGAATTATACAATAACAGCAACATGCAGGGCGGGCATCAGGAGGTGAAGACATGGTTAAGTCATGGAGCGGCGAGTAATGGCGTCTGTCATGGGCTGACTGAACATGCGGGAGTCATTAGGCGCACATTGGGTGTATAAGGAAAGAAAGGCTAGATGGAAGTAGGAATTGGTGAGGTGAAATTGGGTTTAACGTCGTGCTGGAGAATATTTCGCTCATATGACGACGTGCATGCGTGTGTATGTGTATGTGCGGCTGCTTGTACTAGCCCAGACTGAAGCTGGTTTTATAGTGCTAGCCAAATGAGATACCATGCCGCAGTGAAGCATGAATACCCCACTCAGACACATACTGACTCCGAGCCGACCAGTCCTTGTTGTACCCATTAATGCCGAGCGCCAGACAGGGACCAACAAGCATATTTTAACGTCTTTTGGTATGACGCGGTCGGGGATCGAACCCGCGACCTTCCGCTCTCCGGGCGGACGCTTTAACCACTACACCTCGGAGGCGGTCAGGTAAAAATTGGAATATTAATGCATTATATCAGTATTCATGCACACATGTAAATGAAATAATGTACATGCAAGAACACTTCATTCTATATGAAAATATGAATATGAAATGTGCTTCGACGTTTATCGGTAAAGTTGACAGAGCTATAGTAGGGCTATTGTTGACAGTGCTTGTCAGCAGACTCACGTGAAATCAAAAGCAGAGGGGGATATTATGTCTAAATTTTTACACAGGGATTTAAATATTTAAAACATTAATATTTGGGTCATGGATGGCCCAGGTTGAAGGGGAGTTGCGTCCCGTTGTCTGAGCAGGATCTTTCGATATAGTGGGTTCAAATCTCAGATGTGCGCCGATTTTGATACTTGATTTACTTACTTTCATGAATTTTAGCTTTACTCGTGATTTAACTGAATACCTAAATGATTATATCGGCCTTTCCTATGAATACATTTATGGTATAAAATTTATAAACGATGATTAACGA